CTAAATACACCGTTAATAATGACGGTAGTATAGCCTTTCTGCAGAAACTATATTGAGTCTGACTGACCACACCCACGGCTCCTAAACACTTAAATCCCTTGAGCTTCGTCTGCTTACCTGCTGCCCTGATCAATACCTGCTTCTCCTACTAAGCACTGTGCACACTACGACCTGGTTTGCCTCCCCCTCCCCCCCTTTTTCATTCACGCCCATTCCTCCGTGGGCGTAGGAGAGTCTTCGAGCTGACCTCAAGCAGGAAAGATTTTTTTTTGCCGGATTAGTAGATGGGTAAATGGATGTATAGATAGATAGATGGATGGGCAGACAGATAGAAGGATGAGTGGATAGATTTTTTCCCCCATATATCGATTTCCTAGGGGGGGGGGGGGCTGCGTGTGAAAGGATGCAGAGAGCAGCGAAGGGATGGCAACCCGTCTCGATTCCCGAACCAAAGATATCTTAGTCTAATACCTCGATCCATGGACACCCTGAGCTCGCTAATGATGTCTCAGGAGATGCACTAACTTCTGTACAGAATGGAGAGGCTGCGGGTTGGGGATGAACATCGACTGGGCGGCTTAAGGGGAGGAAGGGGAGGAGGGACTGGGGGAGAGGGGAGGAAGGGGAGGGGGGACAGGGGGAGAGGGGAAGGGGGCGATGCTTAACGGCTGGATTGATATAGTGAATGGGTGGACTTTTTTTCTTTCGGTGTCTCCTTGGTTTGTTTCTTTTCCTTTTTTTGCTTTCTTTTCATTTTTTTTTTCTTTCGGTTTCTGTTTCTCTCGCTCTCTCTCTTTCGTGCTTTCTTCTCTTTTTTTCTTTCTCTCTTTCACTTTCTTCCCCTCTCTCTCTCTCTCTCTCTCTCTCTCTCTCTCTCTCTCTCTCTCTCTCTCTCTCTCTCTCTCTCTCTCTCTCCCTCTCTCTCTCTCTCTCTCTCCTCCCCTTCTCAGTTCGCAATGGGAAACTTCCTGCGTGATTTATGCCCTTCTTACCCGGGCTCAAGTCCCCCTACCTTTCCTCGCCCTCCCGAATTTTTTTTCTTGAAGGTCGTTTCCCTCTTTCGTCGGGCTTCCCTCTGTCTCGCACTTTCTCTCCCTTTCTCTCTCTCGAGCTTTTTTCTCTATCTGTGTTTGTCTGTTTCCACCTCTTTCTCTCTATATCTATCTATCTATCTATCTATTTATCTATTTATCTGTCGACCTATCTTTCTCTCTCCGTCTCTCTGTCCCTCCCTCTCTCTCTCTCTCTCTCTCTCTCTCTCTCTCTCTCTCTCTCTCTCTCTCTCTCTATATATATATATATATATATATATATATATATATATATATATATATATATATATATGCTTGTTTGAGTAAATGCATTTTTTTATTTAGTTCTTATTATTATTAATATTTTTACGTTTATATAATTCCGAGCATTTACGGAAAGAAATACACTTGCGCAAATTGTTTATAAAGTAAAGGAGATTATGATTACGTGTAAGAGCATTAAAAGAAAGGATTTATTATTATTACTCTTATTATGTATGATATATATATTTTTTTCTATTTACTCCTGTGATGGCAACAGTGAGAGATGTCATGTATTCTCTGATAATTAGTTTGCTTTCATTGCGATAAATGAAATCGGTCATGACATATACATACATATATCATACATGCATACATATCTTTTTATTCTCTCTCTCTATCTCTCTCTCTCTCTCTCTCTCTCTCTCTCTCTCTCTTTCTTTCTCTCTCTCTCTCTCTCACACACACACTCTCTCCCTCTCTCTCACACACTCTCTCTCCCTCTCCTCTCTCCTCTCTCTCTCTCTCTCTCTCTCTCTCTCTCTCTCTCTCTCTCTCTCTCTCTCTCTCTCTCTCTCTCTCTCTTTCTCTTTCTCTCTCTCTCTCTCTCTCTCTCTCTCTTTCAGCATTTAGGTTTTAACTGCTTATGAACTGTTATTATGATAATTGCACGCAAAGATAAACAATAATTGCGCTATTTCTCTGTTAGTTACTTATTTCCTCACACTCTCACTTTTGAAAATGTTGAAGTACTTGTTGGTATTCCATTGTGTCGGCAAGTGTCAACTAAACAGAGAGTTTATTGTGACAGATGTAGAAAAACTCTGAATGGGAATGCGATTAACTTCACAATACAGGAGATTAATTGATGTAAGTCTGTTCATATTTGACCTGATGAAGATTTAAAGCGAAATGCGTCAATGACATACGTTGTTTGAGTGAAATCGTTTATTCCCATATATGCTTCTGATCTACAGTTTTATAAGTTTAATTCGCAAAAAGGCATAATCCATAATTCAATCTACAGTTTTGCAACAGCTGTATTCACACAAAAAATTGTAGATAATCCAAAATATGGTTTTTTTTTTAAACAGTTCTATTTTTCACTAGAGAGCGAAGGTAATTCACAATAGCTGCTTGATAATAATGATAATAATATGATAATACCAATAATGACAATAGTAATAATAATGATAATAATAATGATA